GGAATTTAATTCAAGCTGGTTTGCATGACAGGGTTTTTATTCTTACTGGTGTAGATTCTGCACCATCAATGTCTATAATTGGATTTCACTATTTTAAAATTTAGATACCATCTTAAAGCATTAGATGAGTGTACAATTATTCTCCTTGCTTGTAATCTTTCCACTCCAAAATTGCATTCCCAAAATGCACCCTCTTTGCAGGTTAAAGTCTAGTTGTGCTGGATCTCCAAAATCTTTTAGCTTCTTTCTGCCATGTAAGTTTTGATATCTTTTGGTTTGGGTAGCGGTAGGGAATGGGGCTGCCAAAGAGAGAGGGAGGCTGGAAAGGAAGATTGCAGAACAGTAAAATTCCTTCCATCCTCTCCACTCCCAAATTGGAGGTTATTTGAAATCAGTACTGCCTTTTACCATTTCATTCGCAGCAGTTGGCAGTTTTTATATCCCAGAGAACATTTCTTGGTCAGTGGAGGGCACAGGTAACAGAGGATCTGTAATAGCTGACTTCCTGAAATTGGAAGAGCAGGAAAGCAGGTTACTAGCAGGCAGTTGAGCAGTTCAAACCACATCAGCCTCAGTTTTGTGATCTAAAATATATGTATTGCAAGGCTGTTTAGTACTCTGCTTCTCTTTTTTTGAATATATTTTAATTTGTATAGATTTCTGAAGTTTAAAAACAGACCATCCTTAAGATATGGAGGCTTTTTCTGAACATGTTTCCTGAATGAAGAGGAAAATGTGTCACCAAATATAAGAAGGGATCTAGTATTTTAAAAATAGCTGTACTCAGAGAACTATTTATTTCTTAGTTGACTGATTAAAATGGAAATAATGCTTAGCTAATAAGGATAAAAACTTTAAACCTTACTAACTTTTAAGTTTGCTCCAGGGACTTAGCTTATCCTGTAACAACATATTCATGATAGTTTTTATATGAGCACAGGGATATATTTTGACACAGATATATGACCAAGAAGATCTATTTTCTGCTTAATCAAACCAAAATAATCTTCTAATGCTGTGTTAGGATCTGACCCATGGCATGAATGAGAAAGTGGTATCTCTAAATGTCACAATATTGATTGCAATTATTACCTTTAAGAAAGAGTCATATAAGACGTCTCGGGCTCTGTGAACTCAGTGGTGTGGATGGTTCTTGATGAGATTAGTGATAAAGATGTCAAGACAGCAAGAGCTATGAGATGATGTGTTGTGCTTACAAGGCACTGTTAGACAAATGAATTTTGAAGTAGTCTGATAGTAACTGTTGCAGAGGACTAGCAGTTCCTTTTTTGTAGAATACAGTATGGAAGAAAGGATGTGATTATTCATTCTTTCATGTTCTGGATGTAAAGAGAGGATTGGCATTTGGTTTTGGGGAAGATTCAGTAAACTTGAAAGACAAATGCTTTGCATACCTTCGTAGTATGGCAGAAAAAGAAACTATTCTAGGAATATAAGGAGAACTAGAGCTTTCTGATATGCAGAAAACTATTGTGTGTATGACAATGTGTTTATGATTGAGTTAATCTCAACTTAAAATTTTGAAGTTGTCAGTAAGAATTGAATTAAATATTCCTAAATAAAAGCAAGAAGGAAAAATGGCAATGATTAAATTTCTTAAGAGTTTTGTGGTTCTTTTAGATAACCTCAATCTCGCTAACACTCAGTCTCCAAGGCATATAGCTAGGACTTTATATCAGCCTTGGCAAACTTCAGTCATACAGACTGTACTTCCTGCAGCACAAACTGTCTTTAAAAGTGATTAAGAACAGTCGAGTAATTGAAGAACAGTTTTAAAACACAGTCTTAATGAAGTCTGACAGTAGACAAGAGTTTCTTTCATAGTGCCCTGCTGTTTAATTCCCTACAAAATGAGGCTCTGCTGACATTGCTGCAGACAGACATGTGCTGGGGCTCTTGTGTGGCTGTAGAGCAGCGGTTCCAGCAGGATGCTGCGAGGGAGCCGTGTGGTGTCAGACCAACGGCGTGGACTGAGGCTGTGCAGAGGATAGTGCAGAGGGTAGTGCTGAAAATGGGAGTAGATCTGCTCCGAGTTTCTGTGTAGGTGCAACCCTGAGAGCCTCATCTGGTTTTGCTAATTCAGCTACATAACTTTGGAATATGTTGTCAGAGTCTCTCTCTTCAGAGAGAATCCCAGCTGTCTTGCAGGTAGTAAAATGATTTCTGTAGTCTCAGTGTAGTACTTTTACTGGCAGTTGGTAGAAGAAGCTTAATAAACTGCGTAAGCAATTGGCATGCAGTGCAAACTTCAGTTTTACTCTCTGAATCTTAAAAGCATTAGATGTTTCTTCCAATTTAATATCTGCATAATGGATATGGATGGCAGGATATGCTCCTGCCAGGTAGCTCTCAGCAGCCTTTAACAGGCTAGCATAGACTTCCAGAGCAATGGCGTTTTTCCACTCACGTTATCCATCTTGTGCCAAATATGCCGAGCCTCAGTTTTTGCACAAGGCACTGGTAAGAGTTGTGCTTCGGGCCTGTGTTTCCCCGGCTCTGCGGGTCATGATTCGGGCCCAGGGGTGGAACAGGCGGCATGTGAATGCAATGTGACGCACCTTGCTCCTGCTCCTGAACTCAATGGCTCTTGCCCTGCTGTAGCAGTATGGCAGAGGAGTCCTCCAGCCTGCCTCTCCCTCTTCCTTTGTTTCTTTTTCATCCTTTTACCAATGTTCCTCCCATTGTAAAGAACAAGATGGAAATTCATTCTTGGACTATTGCTCCTGATTTTCTCCAGTCAGGGAATCAGTAGAAGAGCACCATTATCCCTGAATTTCATACAGGCAGCTGTGGAAGACAAAAACTCCCTTCCTGTTCATGCCAGGTATGGTAATTCTTCAGCCTCCTGTGCAGTGTATTTGCAGTCCATTTTTTGGCAGGTATTCTATAGGCATGTTACATTATTTCCTCTCCTGCTTTGCTGCCTTCTCCGCTCCTTCCCCTAGGGTTACTCTCTGGAAGTGTTTTCTGAGCTCTTGTGTCTGCTGACATGGCACTTTGATTTGCAGGTTAACATGGTTGATCTTTTCAGAAAGCAATTTTAAATGGTTGTTCAGTTATTACATATATGAATGAGCTGATAGACACAGGCCATTTAAAACTATGTAAAGTATCTGAATTAGGAAAATGCTTCCTACACTCCTATTATTTTCTTCTTGTTCTGGAAGGGAACAAACAATTTTCAGCTTTTAGGCTTTGACAGCTTTTAGCACTTCACTGGATGCAGTGTAAGATAGTTCTGTCATGCTGCTGTCCATTACCAACTCCCTCAATTTTCAGTGAGGTTGGACCTGTGTTTCTCTTGTCAGAGCTGAGCATGCATCCTCAGCCAGGGCTGTGGGTGTTGTAGAAGGCAGGCAGTCCTTCTTGTGTACCTGTGAGTTGCTGAATTCAGTCTTTTGCTAAAAGGTCAATCGTGAGCTCACACACTTCAACCTTATGAAACAACAGTGGGGTTTTTGTTTCTTGTGCTTTTTATTTGGCTTTTTAAAGTTCCAGTTCTCAAATCTGTTGATTTGAACCTACCCCTTTTGTTATCTTCTTCTGGGCTCAAGGTACACACTCAGTGATTGAAGTATCATGCAGTTTTAGCTCATCATAGCTAAGAGACCATAAGTCTAGAGTATGTCAAAAACAGTGCACAGAACAGATACTTTGTTAGCTCAGAATGTTGTCATTTTGTGGAAATAAAATTTGAGGAAAAGTATTTTTCCAGTTAGTTGTATTTACGATACACCCAACAAGCTGGATTTTTATGTTTTTATCTCCATCTCTGTTTTGTACCATGTCTTAATAATAATGCTTCTAAACAAAACAAACCAAAATCAAAACATTTGGTATTATCAAAATGGTTGTTTGTTTGTTTGTTTGTTTTTAGTTTTCCTTTCCATATAAGTGCGACTGCATGGGGCAACCCACTGTTGGCACCTGGCTCTGGTAGAGGTTTCCTAGCCATTTCTGTTTCCACTAGAGCTTTCTCAGTTGAGCCTGTATCACATCTCTTGACTTCATTGTCCTCTTTTGAAGCCAACTTTGTTGTGTATTTGCTTTACAGTGTGCATATGCTCTTGATCGAGAGGGCTTAGGTATATAGCTAAATACTTTTAAAGCTGTCCTAACTTGGGATGGTTGGAATGTAGGAAAGAAATGTCCATTTTTGGTTATGCCTGCAAAAGGTAAAAAAAGCCTCACGGTGTTTTCACTCTTGTCTACACTAAAGTAAAATATGAATATAAATTGTGATTCTTTATTATGCGTGTGGCAACGTGTATCTGAGGCTGCAGGTCACCTCACCTGGCCTGCTCCTAAATCTTGCTACTGTCTAAAGATACACAATGGCTACCAAGAGAAGAAACTTCTTTTTAAAATAATTTCAAACTTTAATGGAAGCTATATTGTAACAGGAAGCTTTTAAGCTGGGAGAAATAGATCTAGGCCATTTCCTTCCCATGTACGTAGCCCTCTCTGATTCTTTTTCGGGTGATGTTATTATTGAACAGAATGACCACACATCCATGCCCTTCCTATTTCCCACTTTGCACTCCAACTGGCTGGCTGTCCACTCAATTTGGTACAAAATGGTATGCCCATTGCATTGAAGTCAGCTGTGAGGCTTCAGCCCAAAGTGCATTTTTGAAGGAATCAGAAAATTTGGAATCTGAATGCTAACATGTCTCATGTAAATATAGGTTAATGAGCTTTTGCAGTGGTTTGTGAATAGGCTGAATTTTGGTGGGTGGGTTTCTGCAAGGACAGCGAGGTCACCCTGCTGGGCTGCTGTACTCCTCTGTGGCCTATTTTGCACCGTGCCTATTAGATAACACCAATATTCAAAATTCCAAAAAGAGAAATCCCACTAAGCTTTTGAGCAGTTCTTTATTTACATTAAATAAATGTATGTTTAGGTGCTATTATTTTCTCTAATATGTGCAGCTAAATAACTGTCATAATTTCTGTTTATGTTTTTGTTTATCTGGTAGAAAAGAGTGGTGGAACAGCTTCGAAAGAATTTGATAGTGAAGCAGGAACAGCCAGACAGTAAGTTTCAAATACAGCCATTGGCACAGTCAGAAAACAAACTACAGACACCACAGCCGCAACCACTACAACAGCTACAGCAACATCACCATCAACAGCAGCAGCAGTCCACTGCACCCTCTCCAAACGTGATAGGATCACAGGTAAAAAGCCATGATAATTCTTTTCCTCGCTAACGGTGAAGTTCACTGAAAATTAAAAAAAAGGGAAAAGTGCGGAGAGAAAACTGCAAACTTTCACTTACACTTGTTAGTGTACCAATATGAATTTCTTCTTCTATGCATATGCAGATATGGGTCTTGTGGGGTTTTTCTGCAATAACCTCCCGAGTCAAAAAAATTATGTTGTGTTAAGAAGTTGAATCATAACTTCACAGAAAGAAGGGTGACAGTATCACCTTCCTTAAAGTACATGAAAGTTTAGTAAATGAACCTGTCTTTTCCACAGTTGTATGAATGATTGTCTAACCATACCCAGTAGGTACACACTGTATGAGGCGTATGACTAAAATCCTTTATTTTTAAAAGATGAACAGAATGCCCACTGGATCTGTGAACAAAATGTAAGAAAACAGTTCCCTCTTCTTTCTGCTTGGTTTTTTTTTTTTAAACAGATGTAACTCGTATCAAATAATAATTACCTGAATTTTCAAGGATTTGTCTGAGAACGTAAATTGTTAATTGAATAGTTTAAGTTTTAGAAAGCAGTGTCTTTATTGGGAAGGTAAAGTAAATTTCAGTATAATATAGGATTAGAGACATAATCCCATAACTCTAAAGTGAAAGTGGTCTGCTGTCATTGAGAGAGAATTTTCAAGTTTCTCCTGTTCAAATATTTAAAATCCCAAAAATATGCTAATAAAATAGCTAGAAATTGCAGGGAGGTGTTCTGTAAAAGGGAGTGTATCTGAGATCTTCTTTTCCTGTTGATGCAATCTTAGGAGTTCATGTTTACTGGGATAGGCAGATGGCAGAATTCACCCATGAAGTTTACTTTATGCACATTGCATTGAATCACACCCACAGTTTTCACCGGTTGGGATTCTCATTTTCCTTTTTCCTGAAAGCAGAGGAGGGAGAAATGGTTGGACTGTTAGTTCTCTCTTTAACTCAGCAAGTTGGTTTGGATGCACTCTAAAATGTATTTGTGAGGCTTAGCTAGTTGTATTTTTGAGAAAAGAATGTTGAAGAAATGAAGCAAATTTAACATAAGGTAAATGCATTTCTGATCAGCAACAGCAATATCTAAAGCTAAAACACAACAAAGAAGTAAATATTACCGTGTTCTGAAGTATTTCTAGGCAAACAACAGATCAGTCTTAGCTGTATCACTGATCTCTGTTTTTCAGTCAGGAAACATGGCAGCAAATGCAGTTTCATGTGTTTCTCTGTATTCCACACTTTGCATTCATGCATTAACTTCCAGGTCACCTCCTGGGTTGTAAAATTTAAGTTAAAGAGCCCTCTAGCGAAACAGTCCAAAAACTGCTGCATCCTTCTGACTACTATTGGTACAGTAGTACTTGGAAAATAATTGCAAACTGAAAGGCAGGTTGTCCTGTCACTTGGACAAATAAGCCAGTTTTTATTCTTAACATTTTATATTTTTATTTACATTGGTAAAATTCTGAAGTACCCTCACTAGTTTCTGCACACATTTTGCATCTAAGGTTGTGCCTCTGTCTTGTTGCCTCTCAATCTCTTTCAGCAAAGAAAGGTCAAAGATTTTGTCTCTCTAGAGAGTTTTTTGGTGCCTGCTTTTGTAGATAACACATTTTTCAAGGCTATATCAGCAAAGAGAATGCTTTCAATTATTATTTTCAAAGTAATCAAATTTAGAAATCAATATATGCCACCTTAACAGTGACATTTCAATATACTTAATATAGTCCAGTAAGAAGGGCTTTTAAAATTTTCATAAAGCAACAAGCCTGCTAAGAGGTCATATTATTGCAATATTATGTGAAATAATGCAGGCTTACTATGAATGTCACATCAGTATGAATTCATGCATTGACTACTTTTTAGAATAACCGAGGTAATTAATGCTCAGCAAAGTAACAGGGATATTCAAATTCTGTGATCTTCTGACTGGAACTATACTCTGAGGTATATATACTATACTATACTATACTTAGAGATTTAATAGAACCCCTTGAAAGAGTCAGTCTTGTATCACATGATTGATTACACCTTTCTTTAAAATGTTTATGGTTGAATGTAATGCTTATGAAAATGATGCCATGTTACATCTCATTCTTGAATAATGTTACTGCATTATAGGAATAGAGCCTCTTGCTTTGGAGAAGGTGCAACAGAGGTCAATAAGAAGCCCTTAGATCTCAGATAAAAAGTTAAGGGAGTTGTTCATGTTGCAGCAAGGAAAATTTAATTATGTCTGGATTTTTTATAAATGTATAAAACACATTATCCTTTAATTTTGCATTATACAGTGATTTTTTTCATACTTGGGCATAATTTACAGGATATAGTTTAAGCATTATGAAATTAGAGGTGTGAAGGTAAACTGTGGGTTTTTTTAAGGAAACAATATTGGTGAAAATACTGAGGAATCCAACTGGAAATATATTGTTTTATTAGAAAGAAGAGAATGGTCTTGTATGATTAAAATCAAGCAGTCTAAATCAGGCACGTTCAGAACACGAATAAGACTGCCTGATCCCTGGTTTTCCAATATTTCCTCTGTCAAGCCTAATCATAGAGTCACAGAATCATAGAATCAGCTGGGTTGGAAGGGACCTCCGAGATCATCAAGTCCAACCCTTGATCCACTACCACCGTGGTTACTAGACCGTGGCACTAAGTGGCACATCCAGTCTTATCTTAAAAACCTTCAGAGATGGAGAATCCACCACTTCCCTGGGCAGCCCATTCCAGTGCCTGATTACCCTCTCTGTAAAGAATGTCTTCCTAATGTCTAACCTAAACCTCCCCTGGCACAGCTTAAGACCATGCTGTCTTGTCTTGCTGATGGTTGCCTGGGAAAAGAGACCAACCCCCACCTGGCTACAACCTCCTTTCAGGCAGTTGTAGAGAGTGATGAGGTCTCCCCTGAGCCTCCTCTTCTCCAGGCTGAACAGCCCCAGCTCCCTCAACCTCTCCTCATAGGACTTGAGCTCAAGTCCCTTCACCGACTGACATCAGGAGAGAATGGTGATTACTTAGTACTAAGAGCTTTTGATCATGCCAATAACTGTTTTGAAGATGCAGTGCCAATGGAGTTTTACACCAAAGAGAAAAGAAATAAGATCACTTGCCATTCTGTTGAGTGTCACTTGTCGTGGGTTTTCGGTTCGCATTGTGTTCTGGTTTTATATGGAGACTCTCACCTTGTTGCTTTTTGAATGAGATTCATAATGTCTGTTTTCCCTAGCGTCTTAGAAGACAGTACATTTTAAAACAAAATTATGAAATAATAGTTGTTTTAACTTTGGAATTTATGGGCATAATGTATTCAGGCATTTCAGATAAACGTGATTCAAACCCACTCTTTTTAAAACAGGCCAAGAGCAGTCTCGGTGTCACATATATGTTCCAAAACTAGCCCATTCCACAGAAGTTAAGCTTAATTGCCTGCAGGTGGACAGACTAACAGACAACTCTTACAACTTCAGGGCAGCTCTACCAACACTCTTAGAAAAGAAGGTTCAGTGCTAGATAACCGTATGTATGGCTAAAACTGAGATTGGAATGCCCAAAATAAAAATATATTTTTGTTTTTAAAGAAACCAGCTTATGAATGTTTTTCCTCTCTTCCTCTGATTATGAGGATCACTGTAACTAAAGTTTCCATTTGAAAATTAGAGTTTTACTCGATGAGAAGCTGATTTGCTTGTATGTTCCATAAACTTCCACCTTATAGGTTTGATGTTGACAGTGAATGTTTGGAAGTAATATGAAACTAAGAGATCCAAAATGCATATGCCACTAACACTTAACTGTAATTTTCTCAGGAATTTGTTTTGATCAATCTGCATTGCTACAGATGATTAAACGAGACCAAACAGGTTTGCCTCAAATGAGAATGCTTTCTTGCTATCCAGTTTTTGGAGGTATAAGATAATGTCCTTGTCAGAACAGCAGGTAGATAGGCTCAGTGCTACCTTTTCTTTCTCACACTGTCTATTGTTTCTGACTAACCAACCCACGTCCTGTCTGATACGGAGTGTCTCTGTCTCTTACAGTGTATTTTCTGTTTCCCTTAGAAAACTGTAACTACAGCTTCTATGATCACCACTAAGACACTACCTCTCGTCTTGAAAGCAGCAACTGCGACCATGCCTGCCTCTGTTGTGGGTCAGAGACCTACCATTGCCATGGTTACTGCTATCAACAACAATCAGAAAGCAGTCCTCAGCACTGATGCGCAGAATGCACCAGTCAACCTCCAGACAACAAATAAGGTCACTGGGCCAGGAGCTGAGGCAGTCCAAATAGTGACAAAAAACACAGTAACTTTGGTAAGCGTTTCATGTGTTTGCCCTGCAGATATGTGTGGGTTTGGTTAACAAGAGGACTATTGGAAAAAAAATAAACAGTCAGGTTTTTGCACAGAAAGGAGGACAGTAGGGACGTAGTTAACATTGTTAAAATGATAGCCTATAAGAAAAAAATTTACTCTCCACGTTGGAGAATTTTGTTTGGGAGAATACTGGTTTGCCTTATAGAATTAAATCAGTGCTATCATCACCTGTGTAAAGTTTGCCCTGTTAGTAATTTTTATTCATGGGGCAGCAGTGATTGCTTTGTCCTTATCTAATCTATGTGGCTATGTTCTGCAAAATTCCTACTCTTCTCTTTGGTAAAGTAGATGTCAGACTTTCTTCATTTGATCAGTTTGGGTTTATATCCTAATTTTTTTTGAGTCAATCTTGCTCTGGAAACCGGGCATTGTATAGCATCATGACAGGGAAATTTTACTTCTGAAGTAAGGGCTTTGGCTTCACTAAACATAAATCCAATTTATCCTTACTGAAAAATACAGTTTAATAATGAAAATGGAAGTAATTTTGCTTCCTAATGAGGCATATGTTTGTGATCAGAATAGAGAAGACTATTTGAGTGGAGTTTTTTCTACTGTTCTTTTCTTTTCCTATGTCATCCCTTGCACCACTCTCATCTGTCCTTTGTGTCTATGCTTCATTTCTTTGCTGAATAACTCACTTAGGTTTGAGGAAGTGATTCTGTTTTAATAATAGTTCATGATCTATGTTTCTGTAGCAAATTTCATCAGAAATACCAGAATATTTTCTCAAGCATTAATTAATCATTACAAGACCTTTTTGAAGAAAATTGTAATCTTATGTGGGTGGGCAGAAGTACAGACGGGTGTAAACTAACATGGACATTAATTTCAGAGAATCTCCCCAGGTACTCAGGGTAGCTTGTCATGCTGTTCAGTGGTTAATCACATGGCAGCTCCATGCAGCTGATTTCAGTTAGACAGGGAAGTATTTAGGATTCCTTAATATCATATCTTAATTGCTTCAAAAGAATGGCCTACAACTGAAAATGTCAAGTTGTGTATTTAGAGCCCCTCATAGTCCCATTAATATTACCAAAAGAATTGTAACTTCCAGATCTTTACTATTTGAATGAGATGCTCTCTTATTCTTCTGTTTGCCATGCACTGTGAAAGGACCCTGGTTTATATAGCTGAACAAAGCTGAATAAAGTCTGTTACCATTTCCTGTCTGTTGTAAAGTCAATTTTTAATGATTAAAACAAATAGGAGTTTTTATTATCTTCAAATGAAATGGTTGTAGATTGCAAAGCACAGTACAGTTGAACTAAAAGGAAAGATGCCTGCAATTTATGAAGCAAGGTGTGTAGGAACTAGAACGTAAGATTAGCTCTGTCTTTAATACATTCCTGATGAGAACCTGTTTATAGAGTAGAAAACCAAGGACATCAGGTCTGAAAATACATTCAGGACGTTGATTTTGGTGAACAGCTTCAAAGCTAGCTTCCTCTTACTGAACTGTCTTATGTTCTTATAGCAGGTTCAGGCTACGCCTCAGCCCATAAAAGTGCCGCAGTTCATCCCTCCTCCCAGACTTACTCCTCGTCCAAATTTTCTTCCGCAGGTGAGTATACAGAAAACAAAGAATAGTAGAAAGAAATTATAGCATAGATAGAAGATACTTTTGACCAACACTGTGTCAGTGTTTATTGCTGATCTGCTGGAGGTTTGGGGATGATGCCAAATTGGAGGATGCAATACTCTTGAGGGCAGTGCTCACATTCGGAGAGCCCTCGACAGGACAGAGGAATGGGCAGGAGGAATCTCTTGAGCTTCAGCATGGAAAAAGGCAAAGTCTTGTACCTGGAATGGACTAAGCCCCTGCACAGGTGCAGGCTGGGGACTGACTGGCTGGGGAGCAACACAGCTTAAAAGGTCTTGGTTGACAGTAGCTAAACTAGTGGCGTGCCCTAACAGCAAAGAAGCCTAGCAGCATACTGGGCTCTACCAACAGGACCACAGCCAGTCGACCAAGGGATGAGATTATCCACCTTTCTTTAGTAATCATAAAACTGCCTCTGATGAACAGCATGCAGTCTTGGAACTCCTGGTTGATAAATTTGATTGAAGCATGGGAAGGAAGCTGGGGGGACAGTAATATAGGAGCTGTAAAGGGGGGCTGAGGGATTTGGGCTTGTCCATTTTAGGGAAGAGACTTTGGAGGCACCCTAACAGCAGCATTGTTTCCAATATCAATAAGGAGATAAACCAGAAGATGGAGACATAGGTGCTTGGCAGGAGAATTACAGGCACAGGGAAGATTTAGTCTTTATATAAGGAAACAGTTCTCTCTTTGAGGACAATCAGGAGCAGAAGTTGCTTCCCAGACATGTTGTGGAAGCTCCATCCTCAAGGTTTTATAAGACCTGTCTGGACAAAGCCCTGAGCAACCTGATCTGCATTTAGTGTTGACCCTGCTCTGAGCAGGAGGTCAAGTTAGAGACCTCCTGAGCTGCCTCCGAGCCTGTATGAATTTGTGATTATTAAATTTGCATATGATGAGTATATATGATCTTATTCACGTCAAATGGAATGAACCCATGGAACAGGTGTCAGCAAAATCAAAGCATCACCTAAGGACTTAAGTTGCTGTAATTGTTGTTTGCCACTTATAAGTGAAAAAACCCCCACAAGATGTCTCTAGATTGTTCCCAAGTATTTCTGTGTTGCGACAGAGAGTGTGACCTCTGTTGAAGCTGAGCGCTAAAACTTGTGCTTTACTTTATTTTTATGGTTTGGGAAGGACGCTTAAAAAAAAAATCATGGAGGAACTATTTCATTTGTAAGACATATGTGGTGCTGTGAATAAAAGTCTAAATCTTTTGCAAAATGAAGAAGGAAAGTATAGGCTGAGATCTGATTAAGATTGGGAATGGTGAGATCTGTTGGAATGTGACCTAGTTTTCCATGGTAAAATGCTTTATGGAGTATTAAAGGTGGATAGGACAATAGAAATCAAATAAGGAAAAGATTTATTTTCAAAGTAATATGTTCTACTTCTGTGCTCTGTAATGCACTTAATGCATTAATGTAATGAACTTAATAATGGACAAGAAATAATCAAGTATTGGTGATGGAGTTGGGGAATATTCTTGTGACTCTTTCATCTGAAAGAAGAGAAATGACTGCATTTACCAGTAGCCTTTAGTACTTTCTATGAGGGATTAATGTATAATCTTGTCAGTTTTTTTGCTTCGCAAGATTGGTTGTACAGATGTCTAAATAAATATATAGAGTTGACAAAGGTAGCAGGTATTTGCTGAAAAAAATAATTATTTCAGGACACAGTCAACTGTTCATAACTTCTTGGAGGTTCAGTAAAAAACCCTGAAACACACTTTTAACATGAGCGCCTCAGCTGTGTCTGTAAATATTACATGGGTGTTTTGGCTTGCAAAACCAAAATGTTAATTTAAGTACAGTTAAGGCACTTGGCAATAAACATTCAGTATAAGTGTCTGTGCATCCACATACCATTTCAGGGACAGTGACTGCATATGCAAATGTTATGGATGGGTTTTATGTAAGTAGGCTTGAAAATGTGGCTTTTTTTCCTTGTAGCATACTTAGGGCGCTATGCTAAAAATTACATTATCTAAAAAAATCAAATAACCTCCTGCAGATTGTACAAGCTGAATTGAAAGACAGTAAAAAAGTTAAGCTGAAATACTGATATTCGAATCTTTCTTTTTTTTTCTTCTTTCATCTCTTATTTTTGTAGGTTCGACCTAAACCAGTTGCCCAAAATAACATTCCTATTGCCCCTGCACCTCCTCCAATGCTTGCAGCTCCTCAGCTTATTCAGAGGCCTGTGATGTTGACAACGAAGTTCACACCCACCTCTTTACCCAACTCTCAGAACTCCATACATCCAGTTCGTGTAGTTAACGGGCAGACAGCAACCATAGCCAAAACTTTCCCTATGGCACAGCTCACCAGCATTGTGATAGCAGCACCGGGTACCAGGCTTGCTGGACCTCAGACTGTACAGATCAGCAAACCAAACGTTGAAAAACAGGTACAGATGAAGTGCCTACTAATGCAAGATACTGGGCTTATTGCTTTACTGTGCAGGTTCGGATGACAACCAGGGAGAAATTTTCAGTGGGTACCAGAGATACGTTCCAATGACAGTACAAATTGTGGAATGACTGGCAACTTTTGGGATAGAAGTTACCATTTCCTTTAATATGGGCCATGGCACCTTTTTGTCCTGCTTCAGTGTGTTATGCTCCCCCTACTGTTTTAACTTCAATAGTTCGTAAGCAGGCTGCATTGCAGGGTTTGACTGATGTCTTGGAGAACGAGTACAAACTGAAATCCATGTTCATATCAAGCCCTTTTGTTTTGCAAGGGGTGGTGATGTGAAATGCAAAATTTGCACAAAATTGTAAGGATATTTCTTCCTTGATCCCTTGGTCTTGTGGTCTTGTGATTGGAGGCAAAATAGTCTCACTCAGCTTCTGAAGTCTAATAGTTGGATTGATTGAGTGGAAAGAAGACCCTCAGAAACAGAGAATTCTGGATGTTTAGTTTTAAAGTCTCTCTCCAGGCAAGACTTCTGTAAAATAAAATGTTACTTCAGTCAGTGTGGATTGCAACTGAGAGTTCTTGCCATTCAGTTCAAGTAAAGCAATATTCTCTTTCACTTTTATGTTAATAATAGTATATTTTATACTACATTGCACACTATAACATATAATATTTATGTTATTTATATAGATAATAGTAGTATCTATGTCACTTATAACTCTTTCATAGACTAACATGCCTTGAAGTTACTTTCTTTCTGCTTTTGAAATCACGGAGACTATGAAAATCATGTGCATGAGAGATATGCTCATGGTCAGTTCTGCTTATGAAGTCTTGAGTAGGTTCTTGCGTAACTTGGGGCTGTTCCACAAGTATCTCAGCAGTGTGTGCCCTTTTCGTGTGATTTGAAGTTGTAATTCTACAATACTTGACTTTTGATGCCTGTTTCTTTTGATGTCAGCAGTATTCGTTTGCTCTTCGAATAAATTACTGGCAATTCAACTACTGAAATACGTAACAGAAGAGTTCAATAATACATGAATTTTTCTGTGTATTTTCTCCATGTCATAAAGGGGAAAAGTTTGTCTCTCTTTAGCTTTAGCACACTCAGTTTATAGCTTCAACAGCTATGCTATGGGCTGAGGACTGTCATACAGAAGATTATGACTTGAGAAGAGGAAAACGCTTCAGAAACATCTGAGATTGTAGGACTCAGAGACAGTTTTTTAGCCATTCATTATTCTATGTACTATGAATGCTGAGGAGTGAGAAATACAAAATGCACGTGCCACGCAGAGTGGTTTCAATGTGGAATTCTTCCATGGGATGAATTTTCTTGAAGTGTCTCTTAGTTTTCCCATACCTTATGGGGATTTCTGTAGCAAGGTTAACTCTTTAAGATGACTGTTATTTTTTGCTTGGCTTGTGGGTTAATGGAATGGTGGCAAGGCTGTTTCATCCTTTGTTAGATGAAAACACTTTATTTAGCATTCCTCTCATGTCAGATTCCTCAATTAAGTCTTTGTTAGTACACTGCCGGGTATAAACGTTTTCCTCTGTATCTGCAAAAGAATTTGTTTTACTTTAATAGTCAAAGTGAAAAAAAGTTCTTCTTATCACTGAATGAAACACTGTTTCTTTTCAGACTATTAAACCACATGTGGAAACAGAAGAGAAGCAAACAGAAAGTCGTACAGTTACTCCACCTGCTGCACCGAAGCCAAAACGAGAAGAAAATCCACAGGTACACCCAGAGCTTTCTTTTAAGAAAAAAAAGGACACTCTGTCCTTCAGAAAATATTCTTCTCCCTCTGTTCCCTCAAGACTCCTTAACTTTAACATTCCATGCATTCCTGTTGGACAGCAGTAGTTGATAAGGCTACAGAATAAGAAATCTAAATACATATAGTGCATTGCATTTTTCAGTTCTGGAATGCATTTGGCTTCTGAGTCTTTTGTAAGTTAGAAGATCATAATTTCTCTGTGATACTTCCTTCACAGGGGCTTAGATTACAGTGTTAATTTCCATTCCTTTGAAGTTTTAGACTCTCGAGTTATTCTTAATGCTGAAGAAATGTCTTTGTTTTGCTTTGGAAAATATTTCTGCTCTGGTAAGCAGGATGGAAAGAGCCATATATGTTCACATTCTGCTTGGGTTTTAGTCCAGTTTAGTTTGGGGTGAAAGAGTGGCCAGAATGGCTGTTTTCTTAAAGCCTTTCTGCCTTGCAGAGCTATGAAACTGACTACAGCTAAATGCTCTACTTCCTTTGTTTCTGTAGATGGATTCAACTACTGTGTGAGCACTTACTGTTGTCAGTACAAATTGTGATTTTTATATCTGTTCATTTTCTCCATTAAAATTGGAATCCTTTAAGAACACCATAGCCCTTATCAAACAGCAAATGTAAGCCAGAATTGCTCCTTGTAGTTCACAATAGATGAAGAATGATCTTAAACTAGCAATATTTTTCTGGCAATTGAACTGTGTTGGTATTTACTAAGAGTCAATCACACAGTCGCTTCAGTGCTGGGCTGGAAGTAAAGACACTGCTTTCTTGCTCCCGTTTCTGCCGACTCTGTGATCATGAGCAATTGGCATTTTCTTGTATCTCAGTCTGGGTTCCCGTCAAGAAAATGGGACTATTGTCTATTCTTTCTGAAGTAGTTTGACATACATGAATGAAAAAGTGATTTACAGAAGCAAAGTATTACTAAAAATATTTTTGTTGCTTAGTTACCTGTCAGCTGCCTTTAAAGGGCCTAAATGACATAACTTATCCTAAGAGTTGGGCTTTTAATGATCTTTTTTCTCCCCCCTCACAGAAACTTGCCTTCATGGTGTCTCTGGGACTAGTTACTCATGACCACCTGGAAGGTAGGAAAAATGTCTTAGATTGGTTCTTGCATTCCCTGTTTCATGTTTCTGAATTGGAAGTAGAGTTCCAAAATATTTCTGTATTAAATGCAGTATTTTCATGCACAGTAGTACCTTTGGGGTGTCTGTACTCTTGATCTAACTTAGTTTGTTGTGCATACTTTTTTGTTCCTCTTATTACATTGAAACAAAGCAGTTACTTATACAGTGGAGATGAGTGGTTGGAAAGAAGGTGTATGCTCTGGTGTTAGGAAAGAAATCTGTGGCAATACTGGGCAACTATTGCTTTCTAGACAACCCCTGTCTCTGCAAAGATACACCATGGATAATTTTACTGTAACGTACATCTGGATTTTTCATTTATTTCATAATTTCATGAGGTCATAATTTGTAATGAACAAGTTAATGGATTATAATTGGTTTTATAGTTTGAACATCTAATCCTATACAGTGAAAGACAGCCTATAATTTCAATGGCTTGCATATTTCTCCACTCCATATTTTTAAGTATCAGCAAGGTTACCAGAGGCTTTTTGTTTTAGATCCCAGTTGCGCTGACCATGAGTTTAAAAGTCTTAGTCGTGGACTACTTGGCAAGAAGATGGCAATCATTTATTAGTTGATTGAGCACTGTGTTTGTATTCCTTGTCAGCTCTTAGTTTTCAAACCTTCAGAAATTAGAAGTTTAACACAGTTGCCGATATTGGGCATGATTGGTGTTCTGTAGAAATCTTTACAGTTCTCCTCACATGCAAACTGAATTCCGAGGACTTTATATAATTTCTGACATCAATTGTTTTCTAACTTGAATGCTTTGTTTTACAAGAAATCCAAAGTAAGCGACAAGAGAGGAAAAGAAGAACAACAGCAAACCCAGTGTACAGTGGAGCTGTTTTTGAGCCTGAGGTATTCATTTTTTGCTGGGGGAAGCCAGTGTTTTCATTCTGATCTTGTTTGTCTTTCTGCCATGTTGCTACCTCCTAAGCTATCTCAGTCCTAACTAGACTGGCAAGCTATCATTTATAGTTCAAAAGGCCATTGCAATGACATGACCCTCAGATTTTTAAATAGTAAATACGCTGGGGTGTTCTTCTAATACTTATGTCTTCTTCTGCCTTCTCCTATGTAAAGCTCTTGTTAAATGGCAATATGTGTTGGTCAGCTTATGTGTCAGCCTGAAGCAGTCCAGATGTCAGAAGCAGTGTAAAAAAGCTAATCTTTCTGAATCTGTGCTTCAGAAAACAAAAAAAAAGCCGATAATCTCACTTAGGACTACTGCACTGTTCCTCAGCTATGCATATAGTTTTTCCAAAAATGTTGGCCAGCAAAAATTGTTATATTCTTCCCTGCAGCGCAAGAAGAGTACAGTCACGTACCTGAACAGCACAATGCATCCTGGGACACGTAAAAGAGGTGAGGTATACTTAGACCTGTCTCCCTGCTGTATGCATCTTCCTCCATATTGCATTTGTAGTCCCCTTGCTGATTTGAAGAACAAAAGAAGGACTCCACAGTACTTTATTTGTCCAGTAAATTTCCGCAGTAGACAAAGACCATGACTTCTAGGGATTAGAATAGCAAGTTTTATTGGGCAGTTCAATGTTTCCTTTCAGTTTCACTCTCCAAAAAATAAAATTCGCTAGATATAGCAAAAGCGAAAGGTGTTTGAACATTAGGTAGTGGTGTGAAGCTCCTGTCAAGATCCTCTTGTTAATGACTAGATTGTATTGTTACTGTCAAGAACTTGGTTATGGAAAAAGTGTCTGTGCCCTGAATAGGAGAGGAAACTTAGTGTGATAAAAGCCTTGTTCACCACTGGGAGTAGAGATGGCTCCTTCAAAAGAACTCATCTTGAGCAAGGAAAGCTACCGTGCTCTTACTAAGCACTTTTCTGCAACCAGAGAGCCACTTGTTCTAAAGTGAGAGAGGATCTTTCATATAGGTATGCAGTATTGTTCAGAAGAAATCCTTCTGTAGAATAGGTGAAATTTTAATACTTAGATTACGGTGAAACAGGTGAGTCAGAACAGTACGGAAGAGAATATTTTTTTGTGTATGGCATTGACCACACTTCCATGACAACCTTTACTTGCTTTTTGATGATTTTCTGCAGTTCTTGAAGACTCATAATACCTTCTCTTCTCCTGAGTTAGCTGTCTAAAAAAAGTAATCAATCAAATAAAAAAAGACCCAAACAGTCCCACCTAGCACTAACCAGTTCCATTATCTTTTGGGCTTTTTGGTTGCAAGGTCAAATATTCATTTGACATGTGCTTTTCTTGATATACCTCTTCAGTCCAGCAGGCAATGTGGCAAAACTGGCACTTCTGCAGCTGTGCTGTTTTTAAATAAAAGACATGTCTCTACTGCTGTCCTCTAATAACATTAAATGTATTTTTCAAAATGATATGATGTAGATTTTATATAGAGAGTTTTGCATTTACTCTGTGGATTAATGTTTCTTCTTATAGTAATGATTTCTTAATTTTATTTTAGAACTCATTGTGAACAATTACTGTATCAATGGAAATGATTGCAAGCTTTTGTACTTGATACTCTCTTATCCTGTTTTTGCAACTGACTATTAAACTTTCTGTTTTTTTCCTCACACTCTGTTGTGAGCCTGTACCTTGCATCAGCAACAAATTAGTAGCACACATTTTCAATTGACAAAAGATTTGGGAGTATACATTTGTCTTGTAATTTAATATAGCAATATATTGAGTGAAAAGCTTTTGCAAGTATGTGCCCTTGAGAGCTTTAGTTTAATTCTAGATGGTGCTGAGCATTTCAGATTTTCAGCCATGGACATCACTATCAGAAATCCGTTTCCAAGGACATACTTAGTTCTGGAACATATCCAGACCTTAAATGCAAGGTTTAGCATGTTAATAGGTATAGACTGACAATCTGTAAACATAAGATCTAGGGCATTATTCCTAGATCCTAACTCCTTTATGTTTACATATCCATAAATTACCCTGGAGAAGGGAGGCAGAAATGATGGTTACCTATTGGGTTTTTTCATGTCTTGCTTTGCATTCATTATTTTATAAAAATTGTTATGAACACACTTTGTACATCTGCTAGTCTAAAGGAGCATTTAGGAGTTGTGCATAACCAAACATACTTGACTGATAAAGTCTAAGAAAGAACACAGAATTTGGAGGGGGTTACAGTGGAAGACCAGTGATAGGTTAAAACTGGTAGTAGTTATGGGTCGGACAAGAAGACCTGTTCTTGAGGTAGCCTAATTTTAAAAATGTACCAGTAGGGTAGAAAGTGCTGATCTGTGGATTAGTGGGTTTTAAAAAAGGGGAAGAAAAGTAGGGGGTTCGTGAGTGTTGGCCTCTGATAAAGGACTTAACCTTTGTGTAGATTTATGCTGGCACTAGAAAGATAGGGAGGTGTGGGATAACACTAGAAAGGATTTAATAGTAGTTATTGTTGCTTCTCTCTAGCTTTGATGCCAACATGTTTCCCCTAAAAACTGAACAGCCTCATTTCTAGGAGTGGCAAGTGCCCACATGCTGCTTTTGTGGGAATGATTCTTTGACCCTCTACAGAGCTTATTTCTATTTCCTTCTGAAATACATCTTTTAAGTGTTCTTTCCTTGCAAAATTCTACTTAAAGATTTCTAAAAAATGTTTAAATCTTTGCTTCTGTCCTTCCACTTGTAACTTTTATATTAACTTCCTCTCTGTGCTACATCATTTCCTTTTTCACGCTAGCCAATGAGGACCACTGGCCAAAGGTATGTAAGATCATTTTTCCTTTCTTTTTTTTTTTGTTTGTTTGTTTGTGTTCCCTGTTGTTAATATGTAGGTCGTCCACCTAAATACAACACGGTGTTGGGGTTTGGGGCTTTGATGCCCACATCCCCTCTGTCCAGTTATCCTGACTCCCCTGAAAATGAAAAGACAGAGACCACATTTACTTTTCCCGCAGCTGTTCAGCCTGTGTCCCTGCCTAGCCCCAGCTCCACAGACGTAAGTAACTCTTGGGGAGGGGATTACTTTTAGAAAGTTATGCGTAAACAGACAGAAGGAAAATCATTGCAGATTTTGTTTCTTTAGTCTCACTCATCATTTGTCCTGATTCAGAGCAGTGAAACAGTTCATTTTTTTAACACCCTTCCTTTTTCCTCCTGCACCTATGTTACAATCCTGTAAAGATTTTATTTATGACTCCTTCCGTGGATTGAAACATTGGGAGGCACCAGGCATGCTAGATGAGCTCATTTCTTTTGTGCAGTATCTGAGATCTTGTCTGACTGAATTGAATCTGTCATCCATGAAAAAGGGGCGGGGGGGAAAAGAGGAGAATGAAAAGTATTAGTTACAGACCATAATAACAAAAAAGTTATGTTTCTGTAATGAGAAGGAGGTAAACTGCTTCATCATGCAGAATAGCCAAGAGTATTTGCAGTATTTGCAGCACTGATTTGGCAGAAAGTGTATTGTACCTGTTCAGTGTGGAGAAAAGTGTTCTCAGGAGTTGTAGTGTACTTTGATTAAAGTGCTTACATTTTAATGACTCGTATCTACAGGGCACAGTTTAAAAATCAAAAGGTGCTTGCTTATTTCTTCGTACCAGTGCTGCAAACTCCTTCTGTAATCCTTTTTTTAGAAAAGACATTGTCACATATAGTTGAGGCCCAACCATTTGAAACGGGCTTTAAGGAAGAGTTGGATCATTTTATTTTCATTTATATAGTTGCTCTGCTGTAAGTACATAGACTGAGAGACCAACCCTACTGACCACATAGAATGGGGAATAGAAACCAATTCTACTGGGGAATAGAAGCCTCTTAACTGTATTTGTTCTGCAGAAGTAACAGGAGTAGAAATAGTACAAATGTGTCTGAGGCACTGAAATAAATAGATGCAATTCTGATACCCAGGGAATATGTATGTGAAATTAAAAGGTTCTATTTTATATAGTAATTTTTGAGAGCAGGATAGCACTTGACTGTAAAAAGCCTTTTCTGGACAGTCAAATGAATGGGACTATGAAACAGCCCCTCAGAGATAAGGTGGGACAGCTTCCTGTCTGGGGACTTTAAAAAGTAAGCAGTACAGATAACTTGCAAATATGCTGAAGAGCACATATTTTACATTGGCCCTTCCTTTTACAGAGAAGGACTGGGTGATGGGGTGGGGGTCTTTTCCATCTCTGGTGTGTGTGTATGCTGCCAAGTCTTTTCCCACTGTTTGAGTTTCCAACTCAAAACAGTAGGTTGAGTTGTTGCCCTGTTTTTTGGCAGCAAGCTAAATCAAGAATACTGAATTTCTGTAGCATTCAGATCTAGTTCTGAATGCCCTTAATTTTCTGGATTAGGATCATGTTTAGGCCTAGGTTCTGAATTTCTTTAATATTCATTAATTAATCAAAATTTAAGTGATTTAAAGGAGACAATGGAAGATTACACAACTGATAATAAATGTTCTCTCCTACCCAAACATACCATCATATAGCACAGTAACACTCTTTTGCCTTTAAAATTGTGTATAAGTCCCCTTTACTGTTTTCAGACAAGGTGTTTAGTTTATACATATGCAACAGGACTAACATTTTTAAAGGATTTAATTTTTTTAAAGAATTTTATGCCAAAGTCCCATTCAATACATATTCGCTATCAATTGGGCTAATTTGGTAGACTTCTCAGAAATACTTGATATTGAATTCTGCTTAAAATAAGATACGTGTAAAAGTAAAAAATATATTTTGAAGTGCTGAAATCTTTTTTTTTTAATTAAAAATAAACTGTGTAACAAAATGTGAATTTTCAAAGATGGTAAAATATCAGAAAGGAGACAAATATATGTTCTTTTGTCATTGCGTCTTATAATTCTTACTTGCTAATCATAAAGAGAGGAATGGGTTCCAATTGCCGTCATGAGCTGAAAGGTAGTCTTCTGTTAATATATTATCATAAAATTGCTGTATAAGCTTGTGCAGTCACATCACTTTTTTGTGATTTGGTTTCCTCTATTTATATATTTGTCATGCTGCGTGCTTCTCCCATCTGAGTTTTGAGAATTTAGCAATACTTGTAAAAACCTTTAGCATCCTTGGCTGGAAAAGCACTATATAATGCTGGAAAAGTAGTATATATTTAAACAGCAACAATACAAGTCATACTGGAGGTAAAGACAAAGAGGAAAACTAGTTCTTTGGCATTTAAGGACCTTGAAACTTAATTAGATGTAGAATACAGTGTCCACTGAAATGCTTATGCCACAGCTTATGACTGGTGCTGCCACTGAGGAGAACTATGCTGCCTGTCACCAGCAGTCCTTTCTCATCCTTGAAATGCCTCCTATGTTGCTTCAGCACAGATATATCTGAGGCCTCATAGTGATCTGCATAAGGGAACTGGCATAGCTAAAAATTATGAGTTTTAGCCAGGATTATGCCCTAATCCAGTTAATTTTATAGACACACACATTCTTGTGCCAGCTTCATACAGGGTGAAATGTGTGTTTGGACATATACAGAAAGCAGGATCACTTCTTTTGGCCATGAGGCAGACCGTGTCATGTTGAAGAGGGTCTACACTGTTAGCAGATGATGTGACTATAGAAAAGTCTCTTTATTCTAGATGGGAGAGAACATGTTGTCTGTAGCCTCCAGCTTTTGGAGACTTGAAAATGAAAATACAACAAGTGCATGCCAAAGAAAAAGGCTATTTCAGAAGTCTCAGTTAAAACAATTGAGCAGTTCATCAGGCAGATACAGAAAAAGACTGCAGTTTTGCCTATCTTTAAAATATTTTTGCATTAATTTACTGCGAAGATCTAATTCCTATAGGCTTTAGAATGGAAATTTGATTTTAGCACTTAAGTAATCTTTGTGTTTAGCCAGCCTATGAAAATTGCAAGTCAGGCCAAGCACTTGGCGTCAGGTTTGATGGTCCAGAACGGCCTTCTTGAATTTCTCCTGAAATGTCATTCTCTGAATGACAGGGAGAAATTTTGAAGGGAGGATGAAGCAGAAACTTGAGATGGGATTGGTGATAAGAATGGATGGGTAGAAAGTAGGAATAGAACCTGGGAAAAGGAAGTAAGTAATGCAATAGGCAGGATTGAGCAAAACATCTTTTTTTTTTCCTCTCTCTCTCTCTCTCTCTCTTTTTTTTTTTAATTCCCTTTTTCCTGTTTGGCAATTGTTTGTGAACCATTTGGTTATGTATGGCTCTCCCTCATGCAGCAGTGGCATATTCACCTGGAAGATAGCAATTGCCTTTGAAGGTCAATTACTCAGCAGTAAGAATTGTGCAAAAAATCTCTATTCTAGTGATGGTTCAAGTCTGTGGTCACAAAATGCCTTTTCATTAGTAAACTCTTATATCAAAGCAACATTTCAATTGAGAGAAGCATCACAGAACATTCAGACTGCAAAGTCAAACCCATAGAAATTAGGAAAGGCCAGATTTATTATTCTTCTGATAATGAAATTCATTTACATCGTACACTCTGATCATCTTTATTTATATGGTCATGAAAGATTCCTGTAGCAGAATGTTTAGCTTTCCCATGTTTTTCCAGTGAAATGTATGCATAAGTATAGGTATTACATATTCAAACACACAAACTACATTTGATACTGTATTGTTCAGTTCTGTTGCCTAAAGCCAGGCCCTGCTGCTCTAGACACTTATAAAAATAAAGAAAACTGTTAGTTATCCAGAAGTCTTTTATTTGTTTTCCTGGTCCCTTGATGAAGAGAAAGTAGAACAAAAAGTGATGTCGAATCACCTTTTATGATGTCTCTTCTGAAATTATTCTTCAGTCACTTCAGCCTGCCTCAGTGAGCTCTGCTCTAGCCTAAGTTGACTGCCTACAGCCTACACAGAGCTGGTTCAGAAGCTGAGGTCAGTAAGGATGCATGTTACAACATCAAATCCAGAACCTCTTTATGCATATATTTATTAACTGCCCATAAAACCTGGGGCATTTCTTTGCAATCCAGCAGTGGCTGGGTTTTTGGTAAGGACAGCTATTAATTGTGAGGAAATGCCCTGAATTTTGCATTACCAAACATAGGACTGAGAACTTTGTACCTGTGTGTTGTCATCTCCATGTGTTCAGCTGCATTGCACACTGATCAGCTGTATCACTACAGGTTTTGCAGCATTCAGTTGATTTTGGAATGTTCTGGGTCTAAATTTATAAATGTCTTCTCCTCAAGAAGAAACTACATTTGTCTCTTTTGTAGGTCTCTTTCTGCAGGGTATGAGATATAACAGGTTTGGTTTTCAGCAAAGCAATAATTTTGCACCTGAGCCAGTTACCAAGAGCAATCTGTGGCAATCTGTAATCTGTGGCAACCCAAGCATCTTAAGATATGTAATTCTCTGGAGTAGAATTTTTTTTCTAAAATGAGAGAATTTTCCTCTTAAATTTTTCCTTAGATTGCAGAGGATTTTATTTTAGCTTATATGACATCTCCTGCCTGCCTTCCTTTCCTTGTACTCATAGAGGAAAAGAAGTTCTTCCCAGCCTGGTTACACATACCACTTCACAAGAAGCATGAAGTGTCACCCATTTAGTTCTTAATTTAACACTGAGGAACTCTTTGGTGTTAAAGGATGAAGTAATACCATTATTCAGCTCTCAATGATCCCTGAGAGTTATGGATCCAAAGCATGGCACTGAAAAATCACTAAAGATTGATCCTTTACAAAACATGAAATCACTGTTAACCTTGGGAATTAAGAGAAGAATAACCTTCTCTTTGAAGAACGGCCTCATGAGCGAGAGAGCTGGGAAGCAGAAACCTGAGCAGGTTGCTTGTGTGTCATTCTTCTAACATGTGGAGATTAGTGTAATTTTTTTTGGCTGGTAACTTAATGTGTAAGTGCATGGCCAAATCTGCCATCCCTCGAAATTGATAGAACTTACTCACGCACCTGAAAAGACAATATGCATCAAAATGAAAGCTTGCACATGTTGATATTTCATATAGGGGAAGCATATACCCACAGTTCCACTCAACACACACATCTTAAGGTCTCAGTCTTGCAGATCTGGTGTGTGCGTGAAACTTCATTGTAAGTTGGTGAGAAGTTTGTATTTCAGACTTGGGGTAGGGCCTTGAATATGTGGAGTTTCCAGGGCAACCCACAGGTGGTGAGAGGAGAGGGCTGGGTGCCCCTTGCCTTCAGTATGAATGCTGAGCCACCTTTCTTTCATGCCTCTTTGTTCAAATATCCTAAAAACAGAGAAAAGCAAACAGAAACACCACCACTGCTCCTAGCATGAGGTGGGAGTAACAGGAGGGGAGAGAGAGAAGAAAAAGTCACAAAAATCAGACCTATCTTTTTGGGATATTAATGACTGTAGAAAAAATTCTCTCTAATGGTGAAGCAATAGTAACTAAACCTAGATGTTTTAAAAGACACGGCCAGTCATGTTTTCAATGATTTCTTTTTAAAAAAACCCTTAGTTAGAATCTCTCTTGATACTCTTTCATCCTGGCGCTCAGCCTTTGTTAGTGATGAAACAAACCACTCTCTGTAGAGAATGAGAAAGTTTTGACTCACAGCTTTTTCTGGTGCAACTTGAGGTAGCCTAAGTGAAGTAAAAAGAATTGTCGCAGAACATAATTAATTCTGTCCTTTTTCATTTACAAGCACAACCCCTTTTCCTTACAGTTTCATTTTTAAAGGTGACCTAAATATTTGACAGTGCTCTTTTAAGTCACTCAGGGTTTCTTACATACCATTACTGGCGAAAGACAGCCTCATCAGCATTCCTGGAGTGGAGTTGGGCTTACATCCAGAAATGAGGAGGGTTAAGAAAGTGTGTAGCTCATCAGTTCAGGCAAATAAAAAGCAGGATAAAGTGGGAATTTGAAAGAAGAAAGACTAGGGGATAGCAGTTGTTAAGAGAAGTTATGTTAGTAAGTGTTTGCTGTACCATTTTCCCTCTGGAGGACAGAGGGAGTGTTTGGGAGGACTGATGTGTGACATGCTGCCTGGTTTTCCTGTTTCACAGACTAAAAAGGGCTTGATCTTTTGGAATCCCCTTAAAAATAGTTTGTGCTGTAAACTTTCAATTCAACTAGGATGTAGATGTCAAAGGCCAAAGTTCACTTTTTGCCTTCTCTCTCTCTCTCTAACCCACATCCTTTCCCCTCAATTTTGTAGGGTGATATCCATGAGGATTTTTGCAGTGTTTGCAGAAAAAGCGGGCAATTGCTGATGTGTGACACCTGTTCACGTGTTTATCACCTGGACTGTCTGGACCCGCCTCTGAAAACCATTCCCAAGGGCATGTGGATCTGTCCCAAATGTCAAGACCAGGTATTGTTTGACAGACAGGGGGAGTTATATACAATGCACTGTGAAGATTTTTCTGTGTTAAAGAAAATAACCAGATTGCTTGGGTTACTTAGACCAAGACAGCCTGACACTGAACAAATCTATTTGATCTGTAATAAGGCTTGTGTGAAATTAATTAAATTACCTCTGTCGGAATGCATGCAAATACAAAACTGTTAGGTCTTGCTCCCAAATTTGGAGTCTGTATTTGTACCCTGGTGTTTTTACTCTTTTTCTGGGCCAAAGCATGCAGACTTTTTTGGGAAAGATTATCCATGACCGATATTTCTATCTTTCTACCCATAGAATTTTTGCTGTTCATCTTAAGTTCATTGTTTCTTCAAAAGTTATTAGTATATTCTTCTGGACAAATAAATAAAACATTTGCACAAGCCTACCTCAATAGGTAGAGCAAATATAAGCCCCTGTTTACTCATGTAAAGAGGTTGTCTTCAGTGATCTCTTTAATAATATCACCCAGCATCTGTATAATGAGGATAGGTGAACACTTTGGTGGTCCTTCCTTGCAGATCCCTCTCTGAAAATACACAGTTGAAGTGAACAGATTATATTTTAATATTTTGTTCATAATTGCATTGAGATTACAAGATGAAGAAGTAAACTATTGTATTCCTAACCCTTCCATGGAACTCCAGAAATTACAAAGGACTGCTGATAATGAGCAGCCTGAAGCTGTTAGCATTCTGTCTAACACAGCATGCTGCTTGGTCACCCACACGACCTTTGGTTAGCCAGGTAGTGATGTGAGAAAACAGCCTGACATATGATGTGCTGCTCAGAATTCAAGTGACTTGGTCAGTAGTTGCCAGAGAGGAGGGACTGTGACCACTTCCCTCTATTCCTGCTCTTGCCTACTTTGACCTTACGCCTCCTCTTCATATTTCTGCGATAGGTTTTCCCACAAAGTAGGGAGGGAGATCTTAGTAATTTCACTGTAAACTGAGTCCTCTGTCTTCTGAGGTACCACTCTGATCAGTTATTAAAAATATGTCTTTCCTCTCAAAAAAATTTGTTAGGAAGCAAAATGTAGGAAGGATATGAAAGACATAAATGATGCTTACCCTTTTAAAGAGAGTTTGACAACTCTATTAAGATGATTCTGATAAGAAGGGGAGATAGGACAGTTTCATGTTTTACTAGGCAGGAAGTGTGATGTTTGAATGTATGATGTGGAGACTGTTCTGTGGCATGAAAACTTTTCTCCCAGAACAACTAATATCAGCAATTTGTCAGAATCATGAAGTAATGTTTATGTCTCCTGGAGAGTTTGAGTTCAGATATATTATCCTTTCATTCCTCTTTTGAGTTGTTCAGTTTCATTAATAGATGTTATTTGTGGCTATGGAGGGAATTTAGGAAAATGCTGACATTTGTAAGAAAGAGGCCTGTTTTGTGGAAGCCACAATACAGTTGTGAATAATTCACTCTGTTAAATCTCAGAAAAGGTCTGTGAAGCTTCACATTAACAGGGCTGAGACTAATGATAGCCATGAAAGAAAATCCTCAGTCTTTCCCTCTTTCTGTCTCTCCTTTTTATTTTCTCAGAGGTAGATTTTTTTACCAGCAGTATCTCTATAAACAATTTTCTTTCAGATGCTAAAGAAGGAAGAAGCAATCCCATGGCCGGGAACTTTAGCAATCGTTCATTCATATATTGCATATAAAGCAGGTAGGAAAATGGTGAACAACACTTTTGTTTCACTTTTAACACAGGAAGGTGTTATTTTGGGAATGGGACAGAATGGTACTTCCTTTATAAAAGGAAATTAAAGGGGAAGAACCTTAATAACTAGTGAAGTGAAAATAGCAGTCTAAATATTTGTTAAGCCTTCTGTGATGCTTATGTATGTGGGTAAAATTTGGGGGGTGATTCAGTGCACAAGTTGTTGAATTGACTTTAAACCCAATTATGCTCTTTACATGAAGTGGTTTAGACCCTCTATTCACTGTTGTAACAGAAACATTTTAAATATCCTGTTTTACAGCAAAAGAAGAGGAAAAACAGAAACTACTTAAATGGAGTTCAGATTTAAAACAGGAAAGAGAACAACTAGAGCAGAAGGTCAAACAGCTCAGCAATTCTATAACAGTGAGTATTGTCCTCCCAAATAATTCTTCACCTGTGTTCTAGTGCCAGAATGCAGAGAGAAAACTATAATACAGTGACTTGATGTACTAGACCTGTCTTCCACTGGATTTACTGAGAACTAAGTGAGCATTTTCCTTTGCTTTTTAGGACTTTGGGGAGCAGGAATGAAATAAAGGCAACATATACTTACATTGAGTCTCATACATGATCCATGCTGACCGTGTAGGTAGACCTGTAATATCAACAGGTGACAAAAACGACACAGAGCATTATCATCTGTGGGCCGTAGATTAAATCAAAATCTCCAGTGGCTCACTTAAAGAAGAATGGTTGAGCCTTTGTGTGTAATGAGAGTTATAGTCTTGTTGAGCTTTCCAGACCTTCCTGATGCAAAAGCAACTGTTTGCTCAAGGATGACTCTCAGGCTCTTGGCATGTTACCTTGGCAGTCAGCACTTGGACGCTGTGCAGGGCTCTGCATAATATTTAATTAGACAATGTCATACTTCAAACCAGAAGCTTTAGTTTCCACCTTAGTTTATTGCAGTAATTGGAACATACATATTAATTTGCTCTCTCTTCTTACCTTAATATGCAAATCAGTCTCTTGAGTTGCCAATGTAAATTTTGAGCCCCTCACTTCGTGCTGGTGAGTGTCACATAATGAAACGCACCAAAATCTCCCATGTGTAAGGCTGGATACATAAGAACAGACTTCTTAAATACAGATGCACTTTCCAGGCTGCCTACCTTTGCCTACTAGAACAGAAGTGTCTTGTGTTTTTAGGCCCCTCAGTACTGACATTACAATAAAATGATTGGGAGCAAACGAATGGTGAGAGGTGCTAGTTAGCAGTTTGCGACACTGTTATCTTCTGATTAGCAGTAGCTGGGTGTAACCTGAGCAGCACTAAAGCACTTCCACTGTTTCTCAGTGAGGCACCCAGGCAGATGCAAGCCTTCGACAGGATTGGCAGTGGGTAAAGAGAGTGTTTATACTTACATTGGACCTGTCCAAAACAGACACAATCGGTCTGGATTTTATGGTGTTATTATGGTGCCAGGAGCTGCATGTGAAAATAGTAAAGCTAAAACCAACAGTTTCTGGAGATCAGCATGAATAAAAGATTTAAAAAATTTAGAAAGGTTACCATCTTTGCCTAAAAACCTGAATGTAACAGACGTAGCTACTGTTTGCTCATTTTTGAGGGTTTCAAATATACATATAAGCAGTTTTTCACTCTTGAAACATCATTTGTGGCCTTTTTAAAAAATTATCTTACCCTGATGCTTAACTGATGAGCTAGCTATGTTACTACCACTTCTAAGAGAAAGAAGTGGCCGCAAAATAAGATTTTCAAGTGAAGAGGAGTTTGTTTTCCTTTTCAAGTGCCCCTTTATTTATTGAGAGAAGGAAGTGATGTTCCTACTAAAATGTATATGAAATTAAAGGCTGCATCCCACTAATGGTGTGCACACACAGTGTCAGCAGTCAGCTGCAGTAGGATGCCTGAGCTTGCAGATCTGAGCTAAAGAAATTTCAGTAATGCTATACTAATAGAAAAAATAGTAAGAACATATACTTGGAAGTTTTCCTTCAAAAGGAACACAAAAGGATGGAGCTGTCTGTGTTCATTTGCAGAACACCTTGGAATAAAAGAGAGCCATACCAGGTGACAGCTATGTCCTGGCAATTTAATTCCTTAGCCTGCAATTATGAATTCTCCTGTGAACACAGCCCAGAGACTTTTTTTCTTCTGTGTTGGAAAAGTGAAATTGTAGCTGCAGTCTTTTCTAGGTTCTTACATTTAGATCTGTGAACAGCATATTCCTTCTCTTACCTGCTTTCATTCATAAGCTTGAACTTATTACTGCTTTTCTGTTTTGCTGCAGAAATGCATGGAAATGAAGAATACCATCCTTGCAAAACAGAAGGAGATGCACAGCTCCTTGGAGAAGGTAAAACAGCTGATCCGCCTCATTCAAGGCATCGACCTTTCAAAACCCATAAACTCTGAGGTCAATTCAGTAGCCATCTCCAACGGCATGGACTCCACTAACAATACTAATGCTGCCACCTCCACCTTAGCCCCCTCCCCTTCCCAGAGCTGCATGGTGAACTGTAACAAGGGCGATGAGACTAAATAACACAGTGAAGTTAAGAAGGAGCCAAGGGAGGTGGCGGCGAGGAGAAAGAGCAAAATAAAGAAACTCTAGAAAAGCAAAACTGGATTTCTTCTGGAAAGTGCAGAATTCTTTAGTTCTTTGGTTCCAGAGAGAGCGTGAAGATGCTTGTGCCAGGCGGCACCGGAGTTTGCCAATTGATCCTTCTTATTCTGTGTGTACATGCGAAGTTTGGATCATGTTACATGAATAGTGCCAGCTGGGGGTTCTTTGCCAGCACCATGCCAAGTGAAATAATATATTTACTCTCTCTATATTTTACACCAGTGTGTGCCTGCAGCAGCCTCCACAGCCACTATAGGTTTGTTTTATTTTTGTTTGGGGTGAGGAGCAGGGATAAGGGAGGAGAGCAGGTTTCAAGTTCCTATTTGCAGAACAGTTTGTTTAGCTAGGGGAAAACAAAAACAAGTCCAAAGAGCCTATGGGCTTTTCCTGTTTCTAAACTCTCAGTACTATTAAACCAAAAAAACCAGAAATATAAATTATCAAATCCCAGTGCCCAGAAGGGACAAGTCTATCAAATAAGCAGTATTTACTATTGTTTAGACAGGAGATTTACAAAAGGAAAGGAGATGGACTTTTCACTGAGTAACCAGCACATATAATCATATAATCATAGTATATGCTGAGTTGGAAGGGACCCACCAGGATTATCGAGTCCAACTCCTGGCCCTGTGCAGGACACCCCAAGAATCACACCATGTGCCTGAGAGCATTGTCAGAACGCTTCTTGAACTCAACCAGGCTTGGTGCTGTGACCACTTCCCTGGGGAGCCTGTTTCAGTGCTCAACCACACTCTGGGTGAAAAACCTTTTCCTGCTATCTAATCTAAACCTCTCCTGACTCAGCTTCATGCCGTTTCCTTGAGTCCTGTCACTGGTCACAAGTGTGAAGAGATCAGTACCTGCCCCTCTGCTTCCCCTCACATGTATAGGCTGAGGATCTACTGTCCCAACAGCTTGGGGTTAATCCTGTTTCTTCACATTAAACAACAGACTTGCTTTGCAGAATTGGTTTGGGTCCTCACATTCATCCAGAAAGTCTATGTTGGGAATGGGAAAATGAGGGCCAGAATTCAGGGTCAGCTTGGAGCATTGGATGGAGGTGTCTCAAGAGAAAATGTGCATCAATTACTTGAAAATGAGATTTCAACCCTTTTCTGTATTTATAAACAACAAAGGTATCCTGAACAAAGTAGCACATAACCCAGATGTGTGAACTCAACAGAGAAATGTCCTTTTCTTTCACTTCCTTTCTCTTCTTTTGGTAACAAGAACTAAATAAGGAATAGAAAAGCTGTTTTTCAGGCTGACAGTCTAATTAAAGAGGTAGATGGGACCTTGCATGGTATAGATTAGAAGTAATAGTGTCAGTGAGATACAGTGAGTCTTTGTGAGTCCTTGTGTCATCGTTTTGGGCACTGTTTTTTTATGCAAGGGCAAAATCTTTGTATCTGGGGGAAAAAAAACAACTTTTTTAAATTAAAAAGGAAAATAAAAGATATTGAGGTCTTCCTAGTGTTACTTAAAATAAGATCAAGGTAAGAAACATTGTAAAAAAATTACAAAAGTGCTATTTGTTTCCTAAACAAGTGATTTCTATTAAAAAGGTGTCAGAACTGGAGAAAATGCTGTGTACTTAGAATTTTTTAACACAGACTTTGCTTATTTATGATCACATTCTGCTGTGTTTGTGTTTTAAAATCAAATGGGACAGTTTCAGTAGATTATACCATACATCTACTGGCTAAACTCTAAAGAGAATCAAATCCTACAGTGCTGGATCTCACCCCACCTGGAGGATCGGCCAGGCTTGTCTCTGTTGTTACCATCTTTCCCCCATTCTTTCATGTGTTTGTAACCCAGAGAAAAAGCAGTTGACAATGTGCTTGTTTAAGGTTTTTACAGTTTTGTGATATGGACTGATTAGAGCTTGAAGATGAAAGACAGTGAGTTGGTTGGACTGAAATCGCCTTCCATTATCTCCTCTTGTTTAAGAAGTTCATCTCTTACGTATAATCTTTTCACTCTAGACAGCAAAGCTTGCCTTGTGCTTCCTGACTGTGGGGTCTGTCTCAGTTTAGGGTGCTGATTGTGGTCACGTTGGATTGTGTCCCAGCCAGAGCTGTCTAGTTTCACTACTGCATATAAACATTTGGGCAAAGCCCATTTCCACTGGAAGTACTTGGAAAACTCCCTTTACTTCTGGTGGGAGCAGAGTTGAGCTACTACGTACACAATGTGAGGCAATGTCTCCGGTGTGGTGGCCTTGAGAGCACGAGTTGGGTGGCGAGGCAGACCTGCTCAGCCATTTCTAGTGGAAGGTAGAAAAGCTTTGGATTTCAGGGATGCATTTCTGAGTCAGAAGAAGTGAATACTCCACTAAATAACCTGAGACGGTTTCTTTGCTGCCACAGCTAAATGGGTTTCTGTGGGGTTCTTAGAGCTGTTTTCCTCCCTCTCCCTTAGATTGCCCTTCTGCCCTTTAAGGACTTTTATTCCTTCTGTAGGAGTGTGCACTATTTTCAGCTCTGAGCTCAGAACTGATATCCTGAGTTCTCACATTTGTCTGCAGTTGGGAAAGTGACTCTTAGGTGCACTTCTCAGCTGTGATAACCTCGACTCTGTCTTTTGATGCTTGAGTTCTGTTCTGGAACTAGTGGAGCTGGAAGGATAAGGTAGCACGAGTGGCAGGGAGACAGCTGGGCAGACGACATCAAAACTGATCGTACTAAAAATGTCCTTGCATCAATCCAGTTACCAGTGGGGGTCATCACCACAGGGCAGCACTGGGCCAGCAACCCATAGCATTTAAACAAAGGACTGTCAATTTCCAGGGTGGAAGAGAAAAAGCAAACTGAACATGAGCCTTCTTTCCATAGAATATGAGCCATCAGCTAATGGCCAGATATTCAGGAGAAACTGCCTTTTTGAACAGGTTGCTCTTTAGTTGTCCACTTGGATAATTCTTAACATCATCTTCTGAAGCATCGAGCACAGTCCTGGGAAGAGACAGTCTCAGGGATAGGTGTGCTGAGTCTTCATGGTTCTCATGTTGTTTGTGGTGTTACCTGCTGAGCTCTCTTGGAAACACTGCAGTATTTGGAGGTAGCAGGCTATGCCTGGAGACTAGATAGTCCTTCTGTTTTCTTTGCTGATTCAGGAGGGAATGGAAGTGAAATTCACTAGTAGCCATATTTAAATTTGAGCACAGTTAACCAGACAGGAGATGTTAAAGCAGCTGTTACGGCTTTTCTGAGGCATCTTGTCTCCAGAATCCAAATAGGTAAGACTTTTATGTCCCTTTTGTTACAGCATTTGTGTTCCAGACTGTAAAAGGATGCATTTAGTTAATCATTACCTGGCAGATCTTAGACTTTTTGATACTGCTTAGGTAGTTTTTTCTCTCTCCCACTGATCCTGTTCAGATGCTTTTTCTCCCGGCTCTGCAACAGTCTGGAGCAAGGAGCATTCCCAGAGCTGCAGTGGCGCTGGCAATGATGCTGCTATGTAGACAGAGTAAATTGGGATTATCTCTGCCCAATTACCAATAATAGGGTGGAAGGGGAATTGGCATTTGCTAAATACAGAGGAAAATAGATTTTTTTTTCTAGCTGCTCTAAGAGGTTCCAATCAAGGAAGAAATTTAAACTCTTTGACAGCTTAAAGCTCAAGTTTGTGTTCTGGGTTTATATTGGTTTGGGGGGTTTTCTCATGTAATGTTTGAGATAAAATGAGTTTGCACTAAAACTTCTGCTCTTTGGGAAGCTGTCATATTGAATGTGGTTTTGTATTTCCAAACCACCACCAAGATATTAACTAATTCTTATGTCACTGCTTGTCATTGGTGGGAAACGAGTGGCTTTTAAATCTCTGTTACAAGGGAAGCGATGAGACCACAAAGGAAGCTCATATCAGAGACAATCCTGGCTCTCAGCCCAGTGCTAAGGACTTTAAGAAGTACCCTGCTCCTTTGCTCAGAAATTGCTCATAGCAAGTGCTGCAGAAGTTGTTTTTTCCCTTCTTGCAATCTGTTCTTTAAACAGCTGGAAAGGTGTGTAGTGGTCAGAGTGGCAAAGTGAGCATGTGACCTGCTAGAAGGATTAGTACTGTCATTATTATTCTCATTATTTTTGTTTAGAGCCAGCAGTGATTTTTAGTGCTGTACAAAACCCAGTAAAAGCAATAGTTCTAGGGATAATTGGCAGATAGAGTGAGTAGCATGGCTGATTCTTCCAGGGCATCATTTTTAGCCAGGAGCTACCATGTTGGTGGGATGAATTAATGTTTTGCATTAGCAAAACAGGGCTTTGTTCTATGTCATAAGCAAGTTTCTGTCGGTGGGGATATGAATTAAAAGCTGCTACCCTAGAAATTAAAAAGGTGATCATTTTATGGGCAGACCTGTTAGTTTTATTGTTGGCAGAAAAACAATATTGTAGTTTATCCTTCCTAGCTGACCAGGCTTAAGAAAGCAAGTCTATATTCCATCTCTTTAGAAATGTGAACCCTAATTCTGACCTCCTTGGCTTCAAATCATCTTCTTACATGTACTGTTGCAGAGATAGCCCTGAAAAGCAATGTGGTCAGCATTCAGGAGAACCCAGAGTGAAATCTCCCTCTTAGGCCCACCAAGCTGTGACAGCCCACAATACAGGGAGTAAACTCTGAAATTTCCTTCCCATGTGGATACAATGGGAAATATTTGTGAATTTGTAGTGTGCATGTTTCTCTTTCTTTCCCCAGCTGGGTTGCACACTGCTCTCTTTGCTTCTGAAGCACTAATGATGAATACACATTTTTTAATGAAATGTGTTTTTAAAATAACATGGGTTTAAAATATCATATATTAAGATGTTAAACTAAAATTCACTGTTTTACTGAGGGCCTCTCTCAATGAACTGCTCAGATAATCACTGAAATACCGATATTACACTTCCTTGTCGACCACTCCCCTTTGGGCAGTTTGTTGTGTCTTTTTAGGGCTGACCCTTTTTCACCTCCATTTGTCCTCCCTTGGAATTCTGAAGATCGGGGCAAGTTCTGGGTTACTGCAGAGAGTTTTCTGAGAAGTCTGTAGGAGTCAGGAACCTGATGTTTTGTCATGCATCTAACTCATTTGGCACTTAGGCTTGCCTGGCCAAAAAACTACCTCAGCAAAGGCCATTCCCAAGCACTATGTGGATTCTGTAGTTTCTGGCATTCAGAAGGCAAAAGTTCTCCAAAGAACCCTCCAACAGCCAGCTAGGTACTGGTGTCTGAGGGCATGCGAGTGAACCTTGCAGCGACATGCTGTTGGATCCTTGTTTTCAGTGGTCAGACCTGGACCAGGGAATGACTCAAAAATCAGATGGGATCAGGAAAAGATGATAGCTGCAGACATCTTGTCTCCTGGTTATTGCTGTCTTACTCAGACCCTTCTTTAAGCTCAGTCCTGTTTGTAACTCTACAGAATGGAATGTAATACTTGAAAAGTATGACTCTCTCTATCCTTTTTCTTTAGCTTCCATTTGCCCCCTGTTTCTCTCTTATCTGGGATAAGAAGTTTCTGCATCATTGTGTCTTGTATAGGCTGAGCACATAGTTGATCAACTTGCCAATAAAGAAAATTATTTATACCATGCACTGGTAAGCTTGGTAATTACAGACCCATGAAAAGACAAAACACCTCTCTCAGAGGTTAATTTAAGATGT